TTTTGAATCCTCACCTGAAATAGAAGAAAGACCTGTGTCTTTGACTCTTGACCAAAGCCAGTCACAGACTTCTTTGGAAGCAGAAGTCCCTGCAGTGGCCTCAACTTGGAGTGGGCCACGTTTTTCTCCAGAGCATAAAGAGCTGTCTAATTCCTCCCCGAGGGAGAATAGCTTTGGATCACCTTTAGAATTTAGAAACTCAGGCCCTGTTGCAGAAATGAATGCTGGATTTTCTCCTGAGGTTAAAGAAGATTTGAATGGATCTTTTCCTAATCAGCTGGAGACAGATCCATTTGTAGACATGAAAGAACAGTCTACAAGGTCCTCCAGACGCAGCAGTTCTGAGTTATCGCCAGATGCAGTGGAAAAAGCAGGAATGTCTTCAAATCAGAGTGTTTCTTCACCAGTGCTCGATGCTGTACCCAGAACACCATCGAGGGAAAGAAGTAGCTCTGCATCTCCTGAACTGAAAGACGGTTTACCCAGAACCCCCTCAAGGAGAAGCAGGTCTGGGTCTTCTCCAGGACTTAGAGATGGGTCTGGGACTCCCTCGAGGCACAGCTTATCTGGGTCCTCTCCTGGAATGAAAGATATTCCTAGAACACCGTCTAGGGGGAGAAGTGAATGTGATTCTTCTCCAGAACCAAAAGCTTTGCCCCAGACTCCTAGGCCAAGGAGTCGTTCTCCATCATCTCCAGAGCTCAACAACAAGTGTCTTACCCCCCAGAGAGAACGAAGTGGGTCAGAGTCGTCAGTTGAACAGAAGACCATGGCTAGGACTCCTCTTGGACAGAGAAGTCGATCTGGGTCTTCTCAAGAACTTGATGGGAAGCCCAGCGCATCCCCTCAAGAAAGAAGTGAATCAGACTCTTCTCCAGATTCCAAAGCTAAGACACGAGTACCACTTAGAGAAAGGAGTCGGTCTGGGTCGTCTCCAGAGGTTGATAGCAAAGCCCGACCTTCTCCTCGCCGTAGTAGGTCTGGCTCATCCCCTGAAGTTAAAGATAAGCTGAGAGTGGCACCCAGGGCACAGAGCGGTTCTGATTCTTCTCCTGAACCCAAGGCTCCTGCCCTTCGAGCTCTTCCCAGACGAAGCAGGTCAGGTTCATCAAGCAAAGGCAGAGGCCCTTCTCCTGACGGAAGCAGCAGTTCAGAGTCCTCTCCAGAACACCCACCCAAATCCAGAACTGCTAGAAGAAGCTCTAGGTCATCACCAGAGCCCAAGACCAAGTCCCGCACTCCACCTCGCCGTCGCAGCTCTAGATCGTCTCCTGAGCTGACTAGGAAGGCCAGGCTGTCTCGTAGAAGCCGCTCTGCATCGTCCTCACCAGAGACCCGTTCTAGAACCCCCCCGAGACGTCGAAGAAGTCCTTCAGTGTCTTCCCCAGAGCCAGCTGAAAAGTCAAGATCCTCACGCCGGCGGCGCTCCGCTTCATCCCCCCGTGCTAAGACAACTTCAAGGAGAGGCCGTTCTCCTTCACCAAAGCCTCGTGGGCTTCAGCGATCCCGTTCCCGCTCAAGGAGAGAGAAAACCAGAACAACTCGACGTCGAGATAGGTCTGGATCTTCTCAGTCAACTTCGCGGAGAAGACAGCGGAGCCGGTCGAGGTCTCGGGTCACTCGTCGGCGGAGGGGAGGCTCTGGTTACCACTCAAGGTCACCTGCCCGGCAGGAGAGTTCCCGAACTTCTTCCCGACGCCGAAGAGGCCGTTCTCGGACACCCCCAGCCAGTCGGAAGCGGTCCCGCTCTCGTACATCACCAGCTCCATGGAAACGCTCACGGTCTCGGGCCTCTCCAGCCACTCACCGGCGGTCCAGGTCCAGAACACCTTTGGTCAGCCGCCGTAGGTCCAGGTCTCGAACTTCACCAGTCAGTCGGAGACGATCAAGGTCCAGGACATCAGTGACTCGACGAAGATCTCGATCCAGAGCATCGCCAGTGAGTCGAAGGCGATCCAGGTCTAGAACACCACCAGTAACCCGCCGTCGTTCAAGATCCAGAACCCCAACACGCCGGCGCTCCCGTTCTAGAACTCCACCGGTGACTCGAAGAAGGTCCAGATCTAGGACTCCACCAGTGACCAGGAGGCGATCTCGAAGCAGAACTTCCCCTATCACTCGCAGAAGATCGAGATCCAGAACGTCTCCAGTCACCCGTAGGAGATCTCGATCTCGCACATCTCCGGTAACTCGAAGGAGGTCCCGCTCTCGAACCTCTCCGGTGACACGCCGCCGATCTCGGTCCCGAACACCTCCTGCTATTCGGCGTCGCTCTAGATCTCGGACCCCATTGTTGCCACGCAAGCGTTCTCGAAGTCGCTCTCCCCTTGCTATCCGTCGCCGTTCCAGATCCCGTACTCCACGAACAACTCGGGGCAAACGGTCCTTAACGAGATCTCCTCCCGCCATCCGAAGACGTTCTGCATCTGGAAGTAGTTCTGATCGCTCACGTTCTGCTACTCCTCCGGCAACGAGAAATCATTCTGGTTCTCGGACCCCTCCAGTAGCGCTCAATAGCTCCAGAATGAGCTGTTTCAGTCGTCCTAGCATGTCACCAACTCCTCTGGACCGCTGTCGATCACCTGGAATGCTGGAACCCCTTGGCAGCTCTAGAACACCTATGTCTGTCCTGCAGCAAGCTGGTGGCTCCATGATGGATGGTCCAGGTCCCCGAATTCCTGATCACCCGAGAACATCTGTGCCAGAAAATCACGCACAGTCTAGAATCGCACTTGCCCTGACAGCCATCAGTCTTGGCACTGCTCGGCCACCTCCATCCATGTCTGCTGCTGGCCTTGCTGCAAGAATGTCCCAGGTCCCAGCTCCAGTGCCTCTCATGAGTCTCAGAACGGCCCCAGCTGCCAGTCTTGCCAGCAGGATTCCTGCAGCTTCTGCAGCAGCGATGAATCTGGCCAGTGCCAGGACACCTGCCATACCAACAGCAGTGAACCTGGCTGACTCCAGAACGCCAGCTGCGGCAGCAGCCATGAACTTGGCCAGCCCCAGAACAGCAGTGGCACCTTCTGCTGTGAACCTCGCTGACCCTCGCACCCCTACAGCCCCAGCTGTGAATCTAGCAGGAGCCAGAACCCCGGCTGCCTTGGCAGCTCTGAGTCTCACCGGCTCTGGCACTCCCCCGACCGCTGCAAACTACCCCTCCAGCTCCAGAACAGCCCAGGCTGCAGCCCCTGCAAACCTGGTGGGTCCTAGATCTGCACATGCTACAGCTCCTGTGAATATTGCCAGCTCCAGAACCCCTCCAGCCATGGCACCTGCAAGCCTCACCAGTGCTAGAATGGCTCCAGCCTTGTCTGGTGCAAACCTTACCAGCCCCCGGGTGCCCCTCACTGCTTACGAACGTGTTAGTGGTAGAACCTCACCGCCACTTCTTGACCGAGCCAGATCCAGAACCCCACCAGGAGGCCCAGGCTCCAGAACCCCACCATCTGCCCTCAGCCAGTCTAGAATGACCTCTGAGCGGGCTCCCTCTCCTGCTTCTAGAATGGTCCAGGCTTCCTCCCAATGTGTTCTTCTTCCAGCTCAGGATCGACCTAGGTCCCCTGTGCCATCTGCTTTTTCTGACCAGTCCCGAGCTTTGCTTGCCCAGACCACCCCTGTAGCAGGGTCTCAGTCCCTCTCCTCTGGGACGGTGGCAAAGACCACGTCCTCTGCTGGTGACCACAACGGCATGCTCTCTGGTCCTGTCCCTGGGGTGTCCCACCCTGAGGGTGGGGAAACACCAGCCTCCACGGGGGCCCAGCAGCCTTCTGCATTGGCCACCCTGCAGCCGGCAAAGGAGCGGCGGAGTTCCTCCTCCTCCTCCTCATCCAGCTCCTCCTCTTCATCCTCGTCATCGTCCTCTTCCTCCTCCTCTTCCTCCGGTTCCAGTTCTAGCGACTCGGAGGGCTCTAGCCTTCCTGCTCAACCTGAGGTAGCGCTGAAGAGGTGAGGGGGCTTGACTTGCAGAACCGTTGGGTGGGGCCGGTTTGGGGGG